CAAAAACCCCACAAAAAAACAAAAACTGAAACCGAACAAAAAACTAAAACAAAACAAAAACCCCAAACTAGTACTAGAACTGTCATTTGAACCAGCAATCCCAGTAGTTCATACCCAAATGACTGAAGTCAGTATGTCAGGCCCCTGCATTCCCATGTTTATTGCAATTTATTCGCAATAGCCAAGATATCAAATCAATCATAGTACTGACTGACGGATGAGAGGATAGAAACGTGGTAGGCGTGCGCGGTGCATGCGCACACATGTGCACGCGCACACACAGAGGAATAGTATTCCTCAATAAAGAAGAATGAGACTATCCTGTCACTTACAGCAATGTGGATGGAACTGGACGACATTACGCTAAGTGAGGCACAGGAAAGACAAACACCGCATGTCCTTACTCAAGTGGGGAAGCTAAAAAGTCAATCTCAACTTGTTAGCTAGGTGTTAGCTATGCCAACAGAAGCAGAGGGTAGAGCAGTGGTTACCAGAGCCCGGGAAAGGTGTGGGGAAGGCGGGGATGGAGACAGATACAGGAATGCAGCTAGATAAGAGGAATAAGTTCTCATGTTCTATAACACCATTGTGTAACTACGGTAGAAAAACATTATTGACTATTTTAATGGTACTTTTTTTTTCTTTTTTTTTTTTGAGACAGGGTCTCACTATGTAGTTGAGACTGACCTGGAACTCACTACGTAGCCCAGGCTGGTTTCGAACTCACAGTGATCCTCCTGCCTCAGCCTCCTGAGTGCTGGGATTACAGGCGTGCGCCACCATGCCCGGCTTTATTGATTATTTTAAAATATCTAGTAAAGAGGACTGGGGATTTAGCTCAGTGGTTCTGCTGCCTGCCTCACAAGCCCAAGGACCGGAGTTTGATCCCTGGTACAAAAAAAGAAATCTAGTAAAGAACATTTTGAATGCTCCCAACACAACAATAAATTTCTAAGGTGTTAGCTATGCCAATTTCCCTGCACTGATCATGACACATTGTAGAGATGTATTAAAATGTCATTTCATATCCTATTAATATGCAGTTACCATGGATCAATTAAACGTAAAAATATGGCACGTAGAGTGCTATCACATGCTTAGGAGGCTGAAGGGGAGGATCTAAAGCTGGAGGCCAGCCTGGGCAACTCAGCAAGATCCTGTTTCAAATAAAATAAAAAAGCTGGGTGTGGTGGCGCATGCCTGTAATCCCACTCAGGAAGCTGAGGCAGGAGGATCACTGTGAGTTCAAGACCAGCCTGGGCTACATAATGAGCTCCAGGTCAGTCTCAACTACATAGTGAGACCCTGTCTCAAAAAAATAAAAAACAAATGAAATAAAAAAGGACTGGGGATGTAGCCCAGTGCTCCCTAGATTCATTTCCCAGTGCCAGGGGAAATTATTAATTAATTATTAAAATAAAAAATTCAGTAAAAATACGAGCCAATTCATACACCTGTAATCTTAGCTACTTGGGAGCCTGAGGCAGGAGGACTGAAAGTCTGAGTCCAGCATGGGCAACTTTGTGAGAACTTATCTTGAAATAAAAATACCTGTAAAGGGCTGGGGATTTAGCTCGGTGGTTCCACCTCCTGCCTTACAGGTGAAAAGTCCCAACTTCAATAACAGCTACCAAAGGAAAAAAAAAAAAAAACTGTAAAAAGGCTGGAGTGATAGCTCAATAGTAGAGCATACCCGAGTTTGATCTCCAGTATTATAATCATCACATGACTGGTGGAGAACTGAAATAATTTATAATTACACTGAAGAAAAATTTTAAGCCAATAGTGTTATTTATCATCAACTAACTGGGCTAAGCAAGCTTTATAACACATGTATGTGTGACTTGGAGCACAGCAACATCCGAAGTTAATACATCTTTCTGCCTGAAAACTTACATATTTTAACTACATTTGAGAATATAAATTTCCTTTTAAAAAATAAACCAAATATGATAAAAGCAGATGAATTATCATAAAATTTTTTCTTGTTGTTTTGAAAGAAAATCTTGCTATTTAGTCCAAGCTGGCATTGAATTCACTCTGTAGCCCAGGCTGGCATCGAACTCATAGCAATCCTGTTCCCTGCCCTGGCCTCCTGAGTGTGAAGATTACATGCATGTGTGTGCCACCAATCCTGGCTTGTCATACAAACTTAAGCATTCATTTTTTAATTTAGATTCTTTCTGTTTTTTTTTTTCCTCCCAGTACCAGGGATCAAACTCAGGACACTGTGCTTATGAGGCAGGTGCAGCGCCACTGAGCTAAATCCCAGGCCCTATTTTTTGTTTTTTGAGACAGGCTGACCTTGAATTCACTACATAGCCCAAGCTGGCCTTGAACTTGCAGTGACCTTCCTGCCTCAGCCTCCTCTTTTTTTTTTTCTTTTGTACAAAGAATTAAATCCAAGACCTTCACACACTCTCCAGCCCTCTTTTAAATTTTGAGACAGGGTCTCACTAAGTCACTAAATAGCCCAGAGTACCATCCAGTTTGTTTAGCCATACAATGAAAGATTATTTAAAAATACAAAGGAATGAAGTATTTGACATATTCCATAAAATGGATAAACATTAAAAACATTTTGCTCAGTGCAAGAAGCCAAACATAAATGGAACTGCAAGAGAAATCACCAGCAGAGCTAAGAGACAACCCATAATGTGGGAAAAAATATTTACCAGCTGTTCCTCAGACAAAAGTCTACTATTTAGAATATATAAAAAAATTCAAAAAAAATTAGACCCCCCCCCAAACATAAAGACCCAATTCAAAAGAGATGAGCAGACATTTCTCAGATGAAGTAAAAGCAGCAAATAAACACATGAAAAAATGTTCCACATCACTGGTCATTTGAGAGACACAGATGAAAACAACACTGAGATTCCACCTCACCCCAGAAAGTATGGCTGCTGTCAAGAAATCAACCAATAACAAATGTTGGCAGGGCTGTGGGGAGAAAGAAACCCTTCTCCATTGTTGGTGGGAGTGCAGACTGGTACAACCACTGTGGAAATAAATATGGAGATACTTAAAACAACTAGGATTAGAGTTCCCATTTGACCTGGCTATTCTCCTGCTGGGTATCTTCCCAAAAGAGTTAAAAGAGTCATACCACAGTGATATATGCTCACCCATGTTTACAGAGGCACAGTTTGTAATAGCTAAAACTTGGAAACAGCCCAATTGCCCATCAACTGGAGACTGGATAAAGAAGATGTGGTTTTTTATAAAATGGAGTACTACTCAGCCATAAAGAATGAGAAACTAGAGACATTTATAGCTAAGTGGATGCACACTGAGGCCATACTCAAGTGAAATTAATAAGACACACGTGTAAATACTGAATAGTTTCTATGGTGTGAAAAGCTAGAAGTGTAAATAAGGATCAAAATGTATAAATAGTGTTGTGTAATAGGAAGAAAAGGTCTCAAAGCAGAGAGGAAGTGGGAGGGGTAGGGGATAGGTAAGAAGGGAAAAGAAAAAATAGGAGAAAAGAAAACACATGGAAACAAAGTTTGTGTAAACAGGGAAAGGTGGAGGGGGTAAAGGGAGGGCAGGGGAATGGGGAAAAAATAAGAACCAAGATAAGTCATGCAAAGGTACAAGATCCTAATGATAAATGTAACTGTATTGCATACCTAAAATATACCAATAAACTTAATTTTTTTAAAAAAGGCTACATACTATATACAGTAAGTCTCTGACTTATGAACGTATGAGGCGTGAACTTTCACAGATACAAAGAGACCTCGAATTATGAACACTTATAGACATGAACAAATTGCAGAGTAGACCACGTGTGCACTTTACCATTTTAAGGTAACTACAAAGTAAAAATAGTTTATTGACAGTGTTTTTGTGTGTGCACTTGGCTTTTCAATGCTTTATATTGTCTATTTGTGTCAAAGGTGTATAAGATTCACTATGTCAAAATTATGAACAAATCCGACTTACTAATGGTTGTTAAGTCGGGGATTTACTATAGTTCCATTTACATGAAATGCCCAGAATAGGCAAATTGTAGAGATAGAAGGTAGATTAGTGCTTTTCGGGGATTAGAATAGAGAAGAATAGAAGTAACCAATCATGTGCACGGAGTTTCTTTTAAACCGCGCCCCTTTATTTTTGAGATGGGCTCTTGCTGTGTAGCCCAGACTGACCTAGAACGCTGGGGCTCAGACAATCCTCAGTCCCTCATCCCACCCCCAGGAGCTGGGACTCTCTCTGGCTAGTTTCTTTTTTCTTTCTTTTATACTGTGGATCAAACTTGCGACCTTGTACTTGCGAGGCAGACGGGGTACCACTGAGCTAAATCCCCAGCTCAGGCTAGTTTCTTAAGAGGTGATGGAAATGGCCTGGAATTAGATAGAGGTGATGCAAATCACTGTGAATATATGTTCAAAACCACTCAACTGTATACTCTAAAGTGATGTATCTAATGGTACACAAATGTTATCTAAAAAAAAAAATTGACTGGCCGGGCGTGGTGGCACACACCTGTAATTCCAGGATTCAAGAGGCTGAGGCAGGAGGATCGCTGTGAGTTCGAGACCAGCCTGAGCTACATAGTGAGTTCTAGGTCAGTCTCAACTACACAGTGAGACCCTGTCTCAAAAAAACCAAAAACAAACAAACAAACAAAAATAAAATTTAAAAAATTTGACTGGTTGAATAAATGAATGAATAACAAAAGCACCCAAGGAACTCTAGGCATATCTCCTGCCCTAGCCCTTCCAACCCACAGCCGAAGTCTTCATTTGTATTCTCAGCTTGCATTTTTCCTGTTGGTCCCCGAGGAGGAGACCACATGTAGCAGCTTTCTCAGGCTTCAGCACATGTCCTGGACCAGGCGCCTGAAGACTGCAGAGCTTTGACTGACCGTGGAACAAAGACCTGACTGGTGCAGAGCACAGCAGGGGCAGAGGTGCCAGGGGGTTACCCTGCCCAGAAGCCTGGCTGAAGGTCAAGTTCCTCTGTTCCTGTAGCAGGACAACCTGCCCCCAGCCACCAGGGCCCCGCGTTCCAGGCTGGCCCTGCCAGGCCCAGCCCTGGCCCCAAGAGAGCCCTTTACCTTACCCCCGGCTCCTCTGGCTGAGCTTCTTCAAGAAGAGCCGCGTGACCTCGAGGGCCTCCTGCTCAGGCAGCAGCAGATTGCCAGAAGTGTTACAGTTCAGGTCAATCCAGTCCGTCCTCAGGGCTTGGAAGTCCACATTCCGGGCGCTGAAGGTCTGGTCCCAGTTGACTATTGGGTCAAACACAGGCACATACTCAAACACCTCACTCACATCCTCTTCCTCCTCTTCTTCTTCCCCTTCTTCCTCTCCTTCCACTGGTCCATCCTGATCTGCAGCCGCCACCTCCTCGTCTTCCGGCCACCTCTCTTTGGGGGCCAATCCATCACCTCTTCTCTGCTGTGCAATGTAGGAGTCCACTTGCTTCAGCCACTGGGACTGCTCCAGAGTCCTCCCAGGGTTACTTTTCGTGGGCCCAGGCCTCTTAATGAGAGGTAAGTCCTGCGCCAGGTGCCCAGGGGCCCACTTGTCAGGATGAGGTGAGTCTTGGCTGGGCACAGGGCTGAGCTTCTGCTTCCTCTTTTCTGGTTGCTGGACTCGGGCATTGCTGCTCCTCACTGGGAAGGGAGCAGTGGAATTTTGCTTGGGAAAAGGCACCTGCAGGTCCCCTGGAGGCTGGGCCAGGAGCTTCCGCAGGCTTCGAAGGTGGTAGTCAGTGGCATCCTGCCTGGGGGTGGAGGTAGGCATTTGTTTTCTCTCTTGTGTCTTGGGGTCCTGGTCATGGGAGGCAGGGGTCTCCTCTGCCACTTCTTCATACTGAGAGTCTTCTAGAAGATCATCCTCAAAACCTGTTGTTAATAATAACCATTCCTCATATCAGGAGTTTTCAACCTTTTCCCAAGATATACAAGACAGCTGATGATCGCCTGTGTGACAAACAGCAAGGGGTCCAGAGGGGGGCTAAATGGATCACACTTGTTGTGTGAGCCTGAATTTATATAACTGAATCTAACCTAGTTTATTACATAAAGTCTTTAAAAACCCATCTCTCAAAGTGCTGTGTGAAGACTGAGCGATATCAAATACACAAAGTGCCTGGTTCCTGTGAGCGGTCCAATAAACTGTCCTAGCCATGCTTTCATACCAAGAAGAAAGGCCCCAGGAAGACAAGGCGTCTCTACGGCAGAACTTCTTCAATGGTGTGCCAGGGACGGCAAGAGCCTCCACCGGCCCCCCTGACCCCTGCTGTTATCGAGTACCATGGTCTACATGGACCTTGGTAAAGAAAGCAAGAGTGGGAGTATGGTTCTCTACTCCCTTGGGTGCAAGGAGAGCCATGTAGTTAGGTGCTAAGTGCCTTGGAGGCAGGGCTGTGTGGTCTGCACTTTCCCAGAAACAGACTATGGTCACCCTCCTAGCCCGGAAGTCTCGGTGGTCGCTCTGTACCTGGTTGCTCTGGCCCTTGCTTCTCTGGCTGATCAATCTTGATGTACTCCTGGAAGCTGAACCTGCAGGGACAGGGATGTGTGGAAGGGTAACTGGTGCCCTGAGACTCAGTCCTGGGCAGAAGGAGGCTCCAAAGAGTGTGAGTGTGTGTGAGTGTGTGCATGCACATGGACGGGTATGCACGTGAGACATGCCCAGGAAGAACACAGGCTCCTTGGGCTGGAGGGCACACGTGGCCACTTTTGAGAACCCAGGCAGCCCCTTGTCTCCTGTTCTACCCCATCTGGGGCCACTTACCTGTCCTGGTAGTAGGCATTTTCCTGGTAGAAGCATTTGTTATGGGTTTCCATGTGGCTCAGGCGGGTGTAGTCATTGGGATAAACAAAGGACAGATGAATCTAGAGGTGGAGAATACAGAAGCAGGAGTAAGAGGTAGGATCCTGGAAGGAGCCATTTGGCTGGGGTTAATCACTGTTTCTGCCCTTGGAGCCCTGGGTGAACTACTGAGTTACACACCCCAGCATTCTCTCCTAGTCAGATATAATCCTGAGTCAAGATCCCTAGTTCACACCACCTAATCTTCCTGAGACCATCCCCTCCCTTCTGCCATCTGACCCTCTCCTACCTCCTCCCACAGCCTGAGCATCTTTTTTTTTTTTTGTACCGGGGAGTGAACTCGGGTCCTTGCGCTTGTAAGGCAGGCGGCAGAACCACTGAGCTAACTCCCCAGCCCTTGAGCATCCTTCTTCTTACTGACTACATTGCTTCCTCTGCTCCCTCTCACACAGCCTGAGGTTACTGTCAATACAAACTTTGCAATCATGCCCCTTCATGCTCTGGCTTCTGATGACTCCCATCTCCAGCTCTCCTAATCATTTTTAGATCTGCACAGATAATTTTCATTCTGCCTCTGTAGGCCACAAGTCCTCTAAAGCTAGTCCCCCCACCCCATGGTTCATTTTCTCAGGGCTCTGTCTGTGTGTTTCATAAATGCCACTGGCTGGCTGCGTGGCTGGAATGACCAAGCAGGACAGGGGGCAGTGTGACCCTCAGCGCAGTCCCTGGGCTGCCTGACATCACTGGAGCAGAGCTGAAGGTGGAGGTCCTGAGGCAGAGCACCCATTCCCAGGCTCCGCAGACAGACCATCCACTCACCCAGTGGGGCATGCAGGGAACCTCCCCTGTGAGGCCGTCCATCTGCCAGGCTGGGGCATGGGGAGAGCAATCAAGGCAGCGCCTTCCCTGCCCAGCCTCAAGCAGCCACCGGCTCCCGTCCCGTCACACCCAGGCCCAGACTTACAAAGCGCAGTCCCTGGTATCGCTGCAGAGGGAGCCCATCCACCAGGTAGCTGGGTTTGTAGGGACAATCAGGCAGGACGTGGCGGAGGTGGGACTTGGGGATCAGAGGCACTGGGGAGAATGAGGGAAGAGGACTGAAGGCGGAGACGAGTGTCTCCGTGGGCCTGGCTGGGGCCACACAGGCTTGCTGCGGAGGGCGAGGGCTGAGGGCCCGGGTCCTGAGAGGCCATCCTTTTGTATTCACTCTGGCACTTTCGGCCAATGGCTACGGGCAGAGGCTGCCAAACCAAGGCCGGCACCACTCCTGGGAGTGGGCATTCAAGGGACGGGCACAGCATGACTTCGGAGTCACTGCACACCGCAGGCCTCAGTACGGGCTAGGGACTTCCTTCCTCATGCAGGGCTGTGACTGGTTTCCTTCCACAGCCCAAATGCCCTGCTGCTTCCATTTGTCCTCTTCCTTAAAGGAAAGAGGAACATTGTCATCTTTTAAAATGTAAACACGTAAATATGACCGGGCTGGGATTGCAGCTCAGCTGTACAGCACATGCTTAGCATGCTCCAGGCCACAGGTTCTAGGCACCAAAAAACAAACAAAAAAGACAACGTATTTCTCAGTGAATAAAGAGCAGGAATCTTCTGGAAGACTCTGTTGTTTGTAGTGGAGGGACGTGCGAGGGCATGTGGATTCTAAGTCTATTTCTCGTCCTGGGTGGTGGTTACACGCACTCACTCTGTAAATTTTATAGAATTGCAAAACTAGACATTGACGTTTTTGTACTCTCTTGTATACTTGTTAAGTTTTATACTTCAAGGGAAAAAAAAGATTCTGTGACTTGAGGTACTGTGACACAACGAACGAGTCTCCTGAGTCTTTCCCGTCAACACCGAGAGACATGGCGGCATGCTGTCCCTCAGAATGGCAGACGCAGCGGAGGCCTTACCTCGATAGAGGGTGTCCCGAGGATCAGGCCGCAGCATGTCGGCTGGAGGCTGCTCGTCCACAGGGAGGGAGCTGGAGGAGCCTGCGTGGCTGGCTGCTGTCTGTGGGATGTGGCCCACTTCATCCATCCTTAAGATAGTCTCATCTAGTACCAGGGGGCAGAGGGGAAGGAAGCTGTGATCCCGGAAGAACCCAGATTTCTGCCTCTGAGGGACAACGAAGGGACTTGGGCCTGACTTCTGTATTCCAGCTCAGTCCCTCTTCCCAGAGAACTGTGGCTTCCACTAGCTAACTCCCCTTGATACCCTAAACCAGCCTTAGGGTTAGCCCAATTTTGCATAAATTGGAAAAAGTTACTTCTTCCTCAAATTACTGCTGATAGAAATTTTTCACTATATTTAAATTTATTTAATCAACACTTATATGCTTCTTTTCTTTCCTCCCTCACTCCCTTCGTTTCTTTCTTCCTGCTAGGCATTGAACCTAGGACCTCAAGCAAGTTAACTAAACGCTTTACCACTGAGCTACACCCCAGCCTTCAGGTACCATTCTAAGTATTTTATAAGTATTAGTTCATTTATTCTTCAAAGATACCATATAACTTATGTACAGGCAGAATAACCCATATCCACAATGTCTGGGACCAGAAGTGCTTCAATTTGGTTTTCAAACAAAAACATCTGGCAAAATTTCGTTTGCCAACTCTACATCAGATAACAAACACAAATGTGGCCATCTTTCCAAAGCAGTGAACAAATTAAGTTCGTGAACTGAGGAACCACCGTATCTGTGGAGGCTTCCACCGGCTGAAAATCCCCAATCTAAACACTCATCAGGTGTTCAAAGAGTTTTTGATTTCAGCCAATTGAATTTCCAAATTAGGAACACTCAAATGGTACTACTTCTGTTTTACTGACTTTGGTAGACAGAATCTAAGTAAGGTGCCTAAGATCACAGAAGTGATAAGTAGGAGAGCCGACTCCAAACCCAGCCAATCAGCCTCTTGAATCTTGAGTGCAAACCAAAGACTATGGTGAACACGGGATCAACCTCTGGTCTTTTTATCCTCAGCCCATTCACATCGACCTCCTCCCTGTTCTGACCAAACCACCCGGAGGCTGGCTGCCTGTCTGCCTGTCTGCCCTCTGCCTATGGAACTCATTTGTCTGCAGTCCCAGGTAGGGTCACAGAGCCCTCCCATGCCCAGGCTGGCTGCCTCGGCCACCCTACTGTGTGTCCTCTGAACTCCACTCTGCCTCGCCTTCCCTTGGTTCATATTGAACATGTGACTCCCAGCACACCTCCTTCCTCTGTACCAACCAGCAGCTCACAGCCTAGCCCTCTGACTTTGTGGCCTCTTGTTTTGTCACTAGCAACTTTCTCCCATCAGCCTTGCCAACACACACACATACACACACACTTTCACACACACATACAAACAGTTCTCCAGTCTCCCTGCCTTTCACACTGTCCCTTGAGGGACTAACTCTGCCTATTTTTTTTTTTTTTTTTTTTTCCCGTGCTGCTGATTGAACACAGAGCATTGCATGCTCGGCTTTGGGGGTCTAACTCTGTCTTTTTTTTTTTTTTTTTTGTCTTCCAGTGCTGCTGATTGAACACAGAGCATTGCACATGCTAGGCAAGCAGTCCAGCACTCAGCTATAACCCTAGCCCCACAGTTTTTTGTGTAGCCCATAGACATAGGTCTTGCTGAGGAGGTAACAAGGAGTGAAAAGTTCAACTGAAAAGCTCATTTCCCTGCACACTTAAAGTAGGTGAACTGCACATTTGAACTATAGTTACAAAGAGGGGACCGGTCTCACTGATGGTGATTTTGTCTATATTTTCTTGTCCTAGGGATTGAACACAAGGCCCTATACCGAATTACATCCCCAGCCCTTCTTTTATTTTATACTTTGAGACAGGGTCTCACTAAGTTCCTAAATTGCCCAAGATGGGCTTGAACTTGCGATTCTCCTCTCTCAGCCTCCCAGAGTGCCGGGATTACAGCTGTCTGCCCACACTTGGCTTGTTTAGTTTTTGTGGCACTGGGCATCGAACTCAGAGAGCACTGAGCTACAAAAAAATAAATAAATACATTTTAAATTTTGAGACAGGCTCTCAGTAAATCGCCCAGGACAATCCTCCTGACTCGGCACCACCACTCAACTCAGCCTTCCCTAGGTTTGTAATCTCCAGTGAGGCTCAAGTCCCTGGGTCCCCTTGCAGTTGTATTTGAAATGTCCTACATGGCTGGAGAAGGGCATTTTTCTGAGCCGAGGGCTTCTAGCACATTCCCAAAGGGGTTATGGGCCCCAGAGAGTGGAGGACCCGGCCCCTCAGTTCCACTCTGCTCTGGGCTTCCTTCACCCCACCCTAGCACCCTGCACATCGGCCCCCATCCCACTCCTCTAAGCCCGCCCCGAGCAGGCGGAGTCCGGCGTGGGCACCCTGCCTCCACTCACTTGTGAAGAGGGACAAGGAAGAGGAGTCGATGATAGCGAACTTAGCTCCAGGCTCATTCCGCCGCCACTGCAAGGGGAGAGAGGGTGGGAGTGGGAAGGGTAGGGGAAAGGAAATAAGGGACAAGAAAAAATAGGAGAAAAGGAAAAAATGGAAGTAAAGTGTTTGTAAACGGGGAGGGGAGGGGGGTGTGAAGGGAGGGCAGGGACAAGGGGAAAAAATGAGAACCAAGACCTGTCACGTAGAGGTACAAGATCCCAATGATGAATGTACTGTACTGTATACTTAAAAAGTGCCGATAAACTCAATAAGATAAAAAGAGAGAGAGGAGAGAGGGTGGATGTGGGAGGCTGGAGGTCTACACTAGGGACTGGGCTGTGGGACTGGGAGAGGCAGAGCGGGTGGGGGGAAGGGGAAAAAATGAGAACCAAGACCTGTCACGTAGAGGTACAAGATCCCAATGATGAATGTACTGTACTGTATACTTAAAAAGTGCCGATAAACTCAATAAGATAAAAAGAGAGAGAGGAGAGAGGGTGGATGTGGGAGGCTGGAGGTCTACACTAGGGACTGGGCTGTGGGACTGGGAGAGGCAGAGCGGGTGGGGGGGTGCTCACCGCGACCTCCACGTGGTCGGTGCCCTCGCCGTTCTGCTTGTGCAGCACCTCGAAGTAGTACCTGCGTGAGGCGGCCAGGCTGGCGGGAGAGCAGGGAGGGCACTGTCACCTCGGCTGGGCCACTCTGTCCCCCATCTGCCTGCACTGGGAGCCCAGGAACACGTCATTCAGCCCTAGGGGTAGAGTCCCCACCACTAACACATGGCCTTGGCTCTTTCCTGTCAGGCAGGCAGTGATAGTACTTACTTCACAGGGTGATGAGGAACCCCACGAAACCATAACTACAGTTGCCTTACAGAGTCGCTATTTCCCAGCAGTGTGCAAGTACTTTACGTACAATAACCCACTGTCTGGTTATAGATGAGGACGCTGAGGCACAGACATTTCTGATAATTTACGCAGTCACCTGGTGGTAAGTGGTGGCCCAGGCAGTCTTGTCTCAGAGCCCACATCTGGTGGGCGTGCAGCAGCGCTCCGTGGGGAGCTCGGCAGTGTGCCGCCTGTGTGCCTGTGACCACCAGGTGGCGCTCCGAAGTCAGAGAACTTCCCCTTCCCAGCGTGCTAAAGCGAGGTCAGCTACTCTAGGCGGGAAAGGTCTTGCTGTTCCTCCCTATAAAGACTTCTAGCACCCCGGGAGGGCAGCACTGTCCAGGGCGTTTCAGGGTATAGATATGGGCGTTTCAGGGATGGCGATGGGAAGGGCAAGGACTAGGAGAGAGGAGACTTTTTTCCTAGACTTGTCACTAGATAGGTGTGTGAGCTTCAGTAAGTCACAGCCCTCCTGGGCCTCAGTTTCCTCATCTGTAAAATGAGGAAGGACAGGCCAGATTTTTGCAAGCCACAGACTCTGCATACCCAGGAAGTGTGGATGCTGGGCTCCCTGAACCCGTGAGACAGGAAGGCTTCATCATGGAGAGCCCCCCGCCCCCAGGGTTTAAGCAGAGGTGGCATCAGCACCAAAGGGGCTCAGAAGAAGGCCTGCCTGTCCCAGCCTCCCACTCACCTCACTGGCTTGGAAATTTGACTCCGAAACTTTCCAAACTCTCCAGGGGCGGTCCACTCCTTCCCAGTCTAGAGTATGGGGAAGAGGGGGGACCACAAAGGGCAGTGGTGAGCGGAGAGGACGGAGCAGAAAGGAGACCAGTGGGAAGGACACAGAGGATGTGGCTACCCAGAGACGGTGTCTCCCAGGCCTGACTGTGCTCCTCACTCTGCCCAGGCCTCCCCTCTGAAGCACTGGCAGGCTCTGCTTCTCACTGCCTTCACAGCAGCAATGCCAACAGTCACGGGAGCCTCCCGATGGACCTGTGCCTCCCCAGTGACCAGCCCAGGGCAGTGGGAGAGTCAGGCTGCCCTGACCTACCTGGCCCACACTGGCCAGCAGCTGAAGGCCTGAGACCTGGTCATCACGGCTCAGCCAGAATTCTGCGTTGTCATCTGCAGCAATGGCAAACTGGATTTTCCCTGGCGGGCAGGGAAGAGAGTAAAGGTGAGAGTAGGGAGGGCCCAACGTAGGGGGTTGAAGGCCACATGCAGTGCTGAATTTGGTACTAAATTCTGCTCTGGTCCCTCTCCGCACAGTGGGGATTTCTGGATCCTTGGGGACAGTGTGAAGTTGGAGATGACTCCCAAGGACCAGCCAGTCCAGACTGTAGAAAGGGAGGTAAAGCCTCAGCCTGAGGGAACTGGGTGAGACCTTGCATGCCTCTGTTTCCCTTCTCCAGCTGATGATGGACCAACAGGCTCCAGTCAGTCCAGGCTTACTTCCCAGTTACAGGGTTATATTCTCTGAGTTTCCCTCCAAAACTCTGGGGTGGGAAACACGATGAGGCTTTGGGATTGCCTCACCATCGGTGAAGGGATGCAGGTAGCCAAAGATGCGGAGGCCATAGTTGGTCCATTTGGGGGACACAGCCAGCTTCCTCAGGGTTGTGCGGATCTATCATAAGAAAGAGGAAAAATGATTACCTAGAAGCAGGAAGAGAAATTGGCCCATCTGGAGCTGATGGGAAGACCAGGAAAGGAGCTACACAGAAAGAACCAGTGGTGCGGCTGGGCGAGTGGAGCGCAGGCTAGATTCCACCAGCTCCCAATGCCACTGCATCAGGGTGACCCCGTACTGTGCACAACACACACACAGCTGTGGGTGGTGGCCCTGGGTAAACTATACTGAGAACCATGATGGCAGCCTCAACTGAAATGGTGCCATGGATGGTAGAGAAATTGAAAGAACCCCTGGGAAGGAAACAAAGGGAGATATTTTGGGCAGAAGAAAAGAGGACCCAAGAGACAAAGAAAGGAATGTTGTCCAGAAAAGAGGCAAGAAAACATGAGGAAGACAGAGAGGGAGACGAGAGACAGGAGTGGGCAGAGGAGTTAAGTGGAGAGAAGCAGGCGCAGGGCACCACAGGCACTCACGTGCGGGTAGAGGGGAAAATGCAGGTTCCTCCTCAGCTGCTGGATGGAGCTGCCACACCAGTCTTCAAACACATGAAGGTTGGCGTGGCCCTGGAACTGCAGGGCAGGACAGAACTTAGGTCACTGGGGTGTGCTTGGAGGGGACTCAGACCCCAGCCCCTTCTTCTCTGTGCTTCCTGGATGCCACATGGTGAGCAGCCTCTGTCACCGTGATGCACTGTGTCACACCAGGGACAAGGGACGGTGGACTCACACTTTTCCTCCTTGTAAGTTCATTAGCTCAGGTATTTTTATCACAAGGATGGAAAGCTAATGAACACAATTCCCATGGCCTGGCGCACACACACACACACACACACACACACACACACACACACACACTTCATGTTCCTCCCATGCAAGAGGTGGCTGGCTTGAATTCCCCAGGAGAGGGAGTGACAGCCATAACAGACAGAGATGGTAGTAGGAGTGGGAGGGAAGAGATGGATTTCAGGGGTAGGGGGTGGGGGGATGCTGCCTGTCCTGCCCTGCCCCTGAGCCTAAGGAAGGGAGAGCCCCACAGCTGTCTACTGTTGAAACCTTATCCACCCAGTGGTCTCCAGCCTGCCTGGGGGAGCAGCTGGGAAAGGCTGCAGGAAGCATGTGGGAACCATCGTGGTGCACGGTGGGAAAAGGCTACCGATCCCAGCACTCAGAGGCCTCTCAGGCAGCCCACAGGTAGAGGCAGAAGTGTCCTCCCTCTCCCTTCAAGCGGTGGTAGTGGACAGGGACAGGACTGGGCTTGGTGGCCCACTTCTCCTTTCTGAAGACAGAGCCGCAGCAGGACCAGCCCTCTGGGTGGCCAGGAGGGCTGAAGTTTGACAGGAAAGGGAAGCAGGGATGCTGCTCCAATTGACCAGAGTTTCAGATGACCCTGTCTCCTGTCTCTGCTTTCTCTCCTCTGCCACCCTTGCCCTCGGCTGCACTTCTGAGCTGCGGGGCCTGGGGCCTCCGTGACTCTACCCAAACAGACTCTGCTGTCCGTCCCGCTGTGGCCCATCCGGTCAGAGCTGCCCCTAAGAAGACGGGGCAGAGGTGAGAGAGAGCACCAGATGATACTCAAACCGAAGGAAGTGGCAAGGGCCTTCCGCAAGAGCTAGGGGAGGGAAGGGCTGGGAGGGCACGGGGAACGCAGAGGTCCAAGGCGGGCTGGTGGCCTGGCCACGGCCTCACAGCCAGACCCAGAGGAGACACAGGACAGCCTGTCACGCCTTGATCCTGCAGCAGCTTAGTGCATCCTGACACTAACTAGCCTGGTCAGTGCTAGGAATGTGGGGTGCTGGGAAGCAGCCACGGCTTCCAGGAATATGGGGGGAGACTAGGGAGAGGACAGGGAACAAGGGCTGTGGTAGGTGGGAGGCAGTCTAAGGCTCCAGGGAAGGAAAGAATGGGGACATTGTGCTACTTGAGTAGAAAAATTCCTCAAGTCCAGTCTATAAGACTCAGTTGTCTCTTCCAAATGGCCCGCTTTCTGCCCACTCTCTGGAGACTTTAAGGGCAGCGTACTCTGATCCCTAGAAATGCAGTGGGAGGCCGTGGCAGATGCTTGTCACCAGAGAAGGGTACAGGCCAGAGGCCACGGGGGGTTTGGGCAGGAAGGGAGGGTGCTGTCCCCACTCTTAGGACAAGGAAACAGGGAGGGTGGGCAAGCTGCTCCAGGGTCTAGGCCTGCCCACCACGCTTCCCCAGCCCTGGGCTGCTGCAGGGCGTCTCAGGGACACCCGGGCCCTATTGGTGGCCACACCAGGACTTGTGTTGCTTCGCGTTTTGGGAGACTACATCTGGCAGGGCAAAGGCCCCCGGAAGGTGCCTTGGAACACCAGGGCATGTGTACCTTTGTTTCCGAACTTCCAGTTTAAAGCAGTGAAAGCAAGGTAGAGTGGTGCACACCTGTAATTCTAGCCCTTTGGGAGGCTAAGGCAGAAGGATGGCAAGTTCCAGCCCAGCTGGGTGAATGAGTGAGACCCATCTCAAAAGAAAAGGTGGGGCGGGATGTAACTCAGTGTGAAGATGTTGCTCCAGTGTGAGAAAAGAGAAAGTACTGGAGAAAATCTATGTCAGAACAGGCTCGCTTCAGAGGTAACGATACTGCAGCCCAGAGACATAAACTGACTCTGCTGGAAGCGAGGAGGGTGAATGGGCTGCATGTCAGGAGGGTGAGTCCAGCCTGGGGGTGCTCACCCTGGACGTGCCCTGTTATCCAGCTGCACCGCCTGGCTGGGCTTGCCAGGCCTGCAGAACTGCCCCTGCGTGGGTCTCAGGCTCTTCCCTGCACTGACTCCCCTTCCTGCCTCCCAAATTTTCCTGATCAAGTCACTCTGCTGTCTCAACTGTCAAGCGCCTTTAGAATAAGCTGTTCTCCCCTGACTGACCTACCTTTCCAGCCTTGCCTGTGACCACACCCGTACTCCACCCACACCAAACTCCCTGCCTTTGCCAAAAATTTACTGCTGTTTGACTTCTCCAAGCTTTTACAACACTTGTACCGTTTGCTAGTTGGAAGGCCCTTCCCTTTCTTCTCCACATGGAGAGCTCCTATTTCTCCTTCAAAGCTCTTCTCAAACATTCCCCATGTAGGCCTTCTGTCTTCCCCTGTGTTCATTTCTTTGGATCTCAATTATTTGAATGAACAAATGCTTGCAGAAGCTGATCCCGGAGCAATGGGTCCCTGTATTTATTCTATAAGCACTGAGAGCTTTGCATCAGTTAAAGATGGAAAAGGGGATGTGGCTCAGAGGTAGAGCATGATGGGGGCCTTGGGTTCAAACTCCAGCATCGAAAAAAAAAAAAAAAAAAAAAAAAAGATAGAAAAGAAGCTGTCCTGTAAGGACACAGACATGGGAAGGTCAGAAGCCCATGGTGAGTGTGAGCAGTAAGTGACCTTGCTGTGCCAGGCTGATGCTCATTTGCTTTCTTGCCCATAAACCCAGCATACCTAGCAGGCAGCTCAGCTTGGTGAGGCCTCATTGCAGAAAAACAGAGGCTAAGCCCTGCGCCTCAATACAGCAGACTCCTGCTCAGAGTTGGGAGAAATTTGACCTACTTTGTTTTCTGGGGTGGTGGTGCTGGGGAAAGATCTAGAGCCTTGCGGATGCTGGGCAAGCCCTCTACCACTGAACCACACCCCAGCCCTGACCAGCTCTTGATGTGAGAAATCTCCCTATGGAATGGAAGCAACCAGGTGCCATGAAGGCAAGGATAACTCTGGAGTTGGAGGAAGGCCAGAAGAAGTCCATCTAGTGCAATCCTAACGCATGAAATATCCCTGTTCTAACAGAAGGTTTGTAAATGAACTTGATGTGTCATAGGTATCTCACTAAGGTGACCAAAGCATATAAGAATATAAGACAAACTATGATGGCAGTGATTTTGGGCTCTGAAAACAGCAAAACCTGATCCACACAAAAACTTGTACACAAATGTTATTCAAATTAGCCTCCCCAAAGCAACAATCCAAATGTTGTCCAACAGAGGAATAGGTAATAAAATCTGATCAGCCAGGCATGGTGGTGCATGCCTGTAATCCCAGCAGTTGGAAAGCTGAGGCAGGAGGATCTTAAATTCAAGGCCAGACTAGGCTATACGATGAGTTCGAGGCCAGCCTGAACTACACAGTGAGACCTGGTCTCATATAACTAACTATTGATCTACTGCTCTCACCCTCAGAAACCTTCATGCCAGGAAGTACACAGGCAGGCCAAAGTCAGGAGGAGAGCAGAGGGCCAAGCAAACTACTAGCTTGTGTACCATGGAGAGACCAAGGAGCAGAACCCAGAAACACAGGCAGGGAGCCGGTGTAGTCGGGAGAGCACAAGCCACTGTCTAGACCTTGTGTCTTCATAGATGTAGCCCTTCCATCACCTGCGTCACCTTGCTCATCCCAAACAATCCCTGTTGGCTACTTGTCCTGGACCTGGGAGGTTCAGTTCTCGGCCATGGCCTAGCGTATCACAAATACAATAAGTCATCCTTTCTGCTGTCTTATGCAGCAACTTATCAGCCACATTAAGCAATGAAACATAGATACCTGTCTCAACATGAACAAACTTCGAAAACATCATATGAAGTGAAAAAATCCAGCCACACAGGACCACACATGATACAGTCCCACTTGTGTGCAATGTCCAGAATAGGCAAATCCAGAGGCAGAAAGCAGATGACTGTTTGCCAAGGACTAGGGGTTGAGGTAATGAGGAGGGATGGCCAGGGATGGCATTGGTTCTCTGAAATGAAATGTACTAAGGCTGACTCTGATGGACATACAATCTGTGGGTGTACCCAAAGCACAATTTAAGTAGGTGGATGGCACGAAATGTGAATTATACCTCAAGAGAACTACAAAAAATTACACAGGGCCCTGAGTTTGAGCCCCAGCAGTGCAAAAGAAAGAAAGGGGGAGAAAAAGACAAAAGAAAGTCTGAAAACAAGAATCTGTGTCGCTGCTCTCTCCATAAGCAAGAGACACTGCCTTCCCAAAGCCCATACAAATAACCCACAAACACTGTGACTTGCTTTGATCTGGCTGTACTCACCAATTTCTTCTGTAACTCTTTTGAGTCTTGGAGGGAATGGGCTGGGTAAGTATTTCGGTCAGTGGATCTGTCCACTGACTGACAAATGAATAGGTTGGCATTAGGGTTTGTTAGTATCTTGTGATTTCAGTGCATATAAGTAAGTTTGGTTTTTTTGTTGTTTTGTTTTGTTTTGTTTTGTTTCTGTGGTACTGGAGATGGAACCCAGGGGCACTTTAGTGTTGAGCTACATCCTTGGCCCTTTTAATCTTTTATTTTGAGACAAGTTTAATTTGCTCATGCTGGGGTCAAACTTGCAATGCTCTGGCCTCAACTTCCCAAGTAATTACTTTCCAAGGAATTACGGGTATGCATCACCACAGCTCACTATGAATATGTTTTTGAGAACGGCTACTCCATGAAACGAGGCCCCAGCCATCCAATGTGATCAGTCCCTCTGTAACACACCATGGAGATGTCCCAGAGACTGAGCAGCCAGCCAAAGCCTGGGGAGGAAACAGTGCAAGAAGAGACCCTGGCCACCCTTTCCCTATTCTGTCCTTGCTCACCTTTAGAGCAGGGCTATATATGAACTCTGTGGCCCTGCGTGAGGAAGTCAACCTCGCTGAGGCAGTACCTAAAGAAAGGGGGTAAGAGTATAATCTGAGAGCTCCTGGCTGCTAGGAGATGTTCAATAAATGATCTACATAGCCAACCTGGGAACTTCCTAGTGAAACGGTTGTCAAAGGAAGAAGACAGGTGGAGAGATGTGGGCAGAGGTGCCTGTGACGTGCAGGGTGAGAACCAGCTCCAGTGCTGGAGCCCTGGGAAGGTGTAAGGTGGTAGCTTCCTGACCTCTCTGGGGCTTGTTCTCCATGCTGGTGAAGTAAAGGGACTCAGACTGGGGTGGGTTCTGTGTAGAGCCGTAACCTCACACAGTGGGAGCTGGGTTCCAGCACCACCACCAACAAAACAAAATAGACTAAAGCACAGGATCAGCAATTCCCTGAAGATCCATGAAGACTAATGAAGATTTCTGAGCTACTTTTAATATATAGAAAAATGAAATCAACAGAAATTGGTTATTCACCACCAAAAGGTCCCCCCACACATGCATTAGAATATCAAGTATTTTTTGAGCCAGGCGTGGTGACACACACCTATAATCTCAACACTCTGAAGACAAGGCAGGAGGATCACAAATTGGAGCCCAGCCTAGACAACTTAGCAAGACCTTGTCTCAAAAAAAAAAAAAATTTTAAGGGCCGGGGGATTTAGCTCAGTGGCGCCACACCTGCCTTGCAAGCACAAGACCCTGAGTTTGATCCCCAGTACCGGAAAAAAAAAATTTTTTTTAAAGAGCCGAGAATGTTGCTCATATGAAGGCTCTAGGTTCAATCCCCAGTACCACAAGAAAAAGAGAAAGAAAAATTAATCTTATTTTAATTACTGCTTACTATTTGTAAGTTTTGTAATTATATATTCATATATACATTTATAGCCCTTACTGAAAAAAAGTGAGGAAATTAGTTATCATTAAATATGGAATGGTAATAAAGAACAAGAAAATAGATTCATTCATAGGAAAATGGATACATATTGAAGATATACTCCTAAGTGAAATAAATAAGTCACACATGTGTAAATACCGAATAGTTTCTCTGGTGTGAATAATCTGCAATAATACATAAGATCCTAATAAGATTACTGACATTTAGAAATGGGAAGAAAGGAGCTAAAGGTGTAGGGAAGGTGGATGGGTAGGGGAAGGGTAATAAGGGAAAAGAAAAAAATGTGAGATAATGAAAAGATGAAAATAAAGTGTTTGTAGATGGGGAGGGGAGGAGGAGGTGAAGGGAGGGCAGGGACAAGGGGAAAAAATGAGAATCAAGAACTGTTATGTAAAGGTACAAGATCCCAACAATGAATGTAACTCTACTGTATCCCTAAAATGTACCAATAAACTCAATTAAAGCTGAAAAAAATATATAGACTGGTATGTTGCTATCTTTAAAAATAATTAGCTCATCAAGAAAAATGACCCAGGGCCGGGGATTTAGCTCAGTGGTTCCACCACCTGCCTCGAAAGTGCCAGATCCTGTGTTTGATCCCCAGTAACCCCCCAAAAAAGAAAAGAAAAATGACTCAAGCTGCCCTTAAAAGAGAGAAAGGTGGATCACCAAACCAGATGATTTTTAAGGCAACTTCTTTTCAAAATACTGTCTCCAGGTAGGGTGAGGAGCAGTGAACTAATGATGTCACCTTGTGCAGGTATGCCAGAGTTGTAATCCATCCTCCCTGGGGCTTTACAAAGAGGCAGTCTGCCAGTGTGGACAACCTAGCTTCACTCCGAGCACAGTCCTTCCTCCTTCACTGCGCCTCACAGCAAGTGAGTGGACCGGAAACCAAACCACCCAGGCCGATGAGATCCCTCCAGGATAGGGGTGAGCAAAGACACTGGGCTGGCCCATACTCCCAAGCCAAGAGAAGTGGTCTGTGTCCACAGGCAGCAAGACAAAGAGATCCTGGCTTCTAATATGAGAAATCCAAAGTATAAATAAACTAAGGAGCAAAATAAAAGAAAAATAGGAAATAGGGAGATAGAACATTTGCAAATGGGAAGGGGACCAAGAGATGAAGGGAGGAGGGAAGGAGGGGAGGGGAAGAGGAAGTGAAAAGAACTGAGATGTGTTATATACAGGGACCAACTCCCCACAAGGAATACAGTCATTATGTACTGCCGATGTGTACTAATAAAAATTTTATAATTAAAATTAAAAATTCAATAATTAATTTTTTAAAAACTGGCTTCTAAACCAGTCATAAGCTGGGCATGTTGGTGCACGCCTATAATACCTGCACTCAGGAGATTGAGGCAGGAGGATGGCTATGAGTTTGAGGCAAGGTTGAGCTACATAGTGAGTTCAAAGCCTGTATTATATAGGGAGACCCTCTCTTAAGATAAATACACACATACCTACAGACATAAACAAGTCATAGCATCTGAACACCAAAGTTAACATTTTCAACCTCAAAGCACCATGCTACCAGAGTCTTGGCACAAGCATTTACTAAAAGTAATTTGTGCATGATCATTAATTTCCCTGAGTTTCTGTTTTTCGATCAAAAGAAAAAGAATATCAAAGCCTACAAGTAAAAGTTAGCATGATGCCTATGTTTTGTTTTGCCATTTTGCAGCAATGAGGGCTGAACTCAGTCTCAGTCATGCCAGACAATGCTCTACCACTCAGCTAAGCTCTCAGCCCAATGTTTTTATTTTCTCCTCCTCCTCCTCCTTCTCTTCCTCCTCTTATTCTTTTTTTTTTTTTTTTAAATAA